CCTATGTATTTTTATTATGTTGAGTACCATGAGGCTTATTTGAAAATCAGAGTGACACAGGAGCTCTTCTGTTTACTGGTTCACTCACCAAGTGGCCACAATGGACAGGGCTGATCCAGGCCCAAGTCAGGGGAGCCCAGAACTCCATCTTCCTTGTGGGTGGGGTGACAGGGACTCAAACTCTTGAGCCTTCTTCCGCTGTATTTCATGATACATTGTGAGAGAGCTGGACTGAAAGTGTAGCGTTTAGCATCTGGATCAGCACTCTGATATGGGAAGCAGTTGTATAAGAAGTAGTCAAATCCAGGAGCTTCTTTCAGGTCTCCTACGTGGATGACAGGGTCTGAAACATTGGAACCATCTTCCACTGCCTTTCCTAGGCCATCAGCAGGGAACTAGATTAAACGTGGAGACTCTGGTACTCAAACTAGCTCACCTACAGAATGTTAAAGCTGAAGGCAGCAGGTTAACTAATTATACCACAAGCCTCCTCTTACCATGTGGTGTTGTGTTATCAGTTATGTAACCCAAGGGAGTATTTCAGCCTGATTTCCAACTTCTGGCTTATTCATCGTGGTATTCTTTTCAGGAGAAAATTGTTAGTTGAATTTTTATTTGAGGGGGCAGGAATTCAGATAACTCCTATTTCTTCATCTTCCTTTTTAATTTTGTTTAATTTCTATTTTTTCATGATACAGTTCCATAGGCTGAGGGGTTACTACTTAGCCATCAAAAGAATGAAATTCTACCATTTGCAACAAAATAGTCCCAACTACAGACCATTATGCTTAATGAAATAAGCCAATCCCCAAAGGACAAATATCGTATGTTCTTTCTGATATAAGGGAATCTTTCTGCAAAATATAAGAACAGTAGATTCAGAGATAAGCATGTATATACACATATTTATCTAGAGGGTTTGTATAGTGGAGACAAGTATTCCATGAAGTGGAGATACATAGTAGTATGCATATCCACTTTTGAATAAAAGATAGATTCCCAATGAAGCTGTTAAATATATCTTGACAATACGATGCCACTATTATCTATCCATATGATGTCAGGGTACACTTAATTAGCAGAATGATGGACTTGTGACTGTATACTATAGTAATAATATCGGGTGAAACAGTGTTGCGGCTGGGGGTATATGGGAAGGGTGGAAGGGAAATACCTTAGCCTTCACATTTCTTGTATCACACTTCTTACACTTTACTCAAAGCCACCAGGGGGAACCAAATGTCCTCAACTGAACATATTACTATCACACACAAGTTCTAGCTTACACAAAACTCTAGAACAAATACAAGTATAATGAAGCCACATTGTCACTTGATGATAAAGATAACCTTTTTCTATTGTCCAACAATGTGTTCCTTTATTCCATTTGAGTTCACATTCAAATGGCCTTTTCTTTCCATATTTTCATCAAGATCTTGTTTGTGATTACTTATGTATTCTCAAAAAAAAAAAAGAAAAACCCAGCAGGTTGTCTCTTTAGCCCTTCTCTTACTATAATGGACTTCAAATTCTATTCATGGCAATCTAGACATTTTTTAGCATGCACCTGAAAAGCTTTCCATCTGTTATCCATTGTCTAGTCACAAAAAAAAACTTCCATAGTTTGAGTTATATTGTACAGCAATACCATCACTTGTTTGTGCCAATTCCTACTTGACTTGGTTTGGAATGTCATTTTTTAACTACAGACTGGGTGGTTTAAGGAGCCAACACTTTTTTTCTCATGTTTGAAGGCTGCTGTAGCCAAGACAAATGCAGTAGCAGATTCATTATCTGGTGAGGCTCCACTTCCTTGTAGTCATTTTCTCCTGTCGTCCTATCCTGCAGGATCTCTTCCATAAAGAGCTCTAATTCCATTTGTGAGGGGTGCATTTTCATGACCTAATCTCTCCTCAAAGTCTCTTCCTCTTACTGCTGTCACATTTAGTGTGAAAATCTCAGCATGTAAATTTTGCAGTGGAGGATTGAATGTGAGCATTTTAATACATTTCAAGTGAAGTATTTGATGGGCGCAATGGACTCTACGTGAATATATTTACCTAAGTATATTGGAGAGGATAAAGACCAAACATAAAGACCAGATGACCACACACTAATGGCTTGAAGTCAAATTGCCTTCCTTTGCATAAAGAGATCAGTGGTTTGTGTCATGGCATGTTTTTTCTTTTAATTTTGTGTAAACAAGTGCAAAGGCCTATATGACAGACTTATTAGTTTCCTAGTGCTAGAGTAACAAATCACCATAAACCTGGTGGCTTAAAACAACAGAAATGTATCGTCATGGTCCTGATGGCTGGAAATTGGAAAGAGTCAGCAGGGATGTGATTGCTCTGAAGGCTTTAGCAGAGAAACACAATTGTTATTTAGTTTTAAGATGCATCACTCTCATTTCTGAGGCTCTCTCAGCAGTCTTACTAGCCTCTGACCCACCTTTCCATACTTTAGAAATATTTTCAGCTAAATACTCAATTTTGTAACACATTCAATTGCTTTCTACCAAACAGTACAACAAAATTTAAAAATGTCTGATATGTTATAAGAAGGATCACTTGCTCCAATTCCTCATTTCTATCCGAGGCCTCACCAGAAACAACTTTACTGTTCATATTTATAGCAACATTCTGCTCAAGCTAAGATAGATTTTTTTTTCCTGTCAGTTGCCTCAAAATCCCTCCAGGCTTTCTACACAAACAATCTCAAAGCCACTCCCATATTTTTAGATTCCTGTTAAAAAAGCACCCAATTTCCATTACCAAAATCTGTGTGAGTTTCCTAAATGTGGCACAAATAACCACATACAAAGTGGGTTTGAAGAAAAATAACTTATTCTTTCATAGTTTTGGAGTCTAGAAATTTAAAATCAAGGTATTGGTAGGCTCATGCTGTCTCTAAGGGCCTTTGGAAGATCCTTCTCTGCCTCTATCTAGATTCTGGTGATTACAAGCAAGCATTGGCATCCCTTGGCTTGCAGATGTACCACACCAGCATCTGTCTCCACTGTCACAGGATATTCTCTGTATCTGTGTGCTCTGTATCTTCACAAGGTATTCTCCCTGTGTGTGGCAGTGTCCAAATTTTCTTCTCCTTGTAAGATGTCCTGTCATCCCATTAGAATCCACTCTTACCTAGTATGATCTCATTTTAACTTGATCATATCTATAATCATCCTATTTCTAATTAAGGTCATATTCATAAGTGCCTGAGGTTTGGTCTTGAACAAAGTTCAACTTGCTACATACTCATTCAGGTTTAGGTATGTCATAATTTCATAACAATAGGATAGAATGTAAACTTGGTCTCTTCAAGTGTAAAACCAAAGCAATGGTCACTGCTACTTGTACTGCGACAGAGATGAACTCTTGTGTATTCCAAGTCAACTTTGACCATGAAATTCAAATTCAGCCCAAACAGAATTCTATATTTCTTCCATTTGTTTTTTTTTTTTTAGTACTTTGTACATTGTAAAAGAGTTCACTTGGCGATGTATACTAATTTCGTGGATTTCAAATATGTCTCTTTCAGCAGATTCCAAGCTCCATGAAGAAAACACTATGACTTACCCATCTCTGCAACTCTAGTGCTTAGTGTGGTGGATGACATCTAGTAGAGTCTTAGAAATTATTGGAGAAGGGAGGGAGATTGAGAGGAAGAAAGATGTTTGCAATGTTACAATATCTTACGGAGTAGTATGTGCTGGAACCTTAGCATGTCAAAGCCAAGAGTACATTATTTTCTGCGGATTCCCTGCCCACTATTCTCATATCCATAAAACTTTCCAGGGACTCTGTACAGCAAACATGGCCATGACACAGTAATCGTAGGCAATGTGAGACATTGACTCAACAAAGTAGCATCTCCTTCCAAAAATGTCCAGGTCAGTTCAGTGACAACTACATAGCATGTAGCCAATATACAAGAAAACAGAAGGAAACAGAGAGTACTATATACATGGTATATACACACTACGTAATAGTATATCATGAGAGGTGAACTCACGTAAACCAATCATACTGAAAGTGCTAGGGAGCCTTCAACCATGTGCTGTCAGGTTATGGCAGAAAGAATATAGAGTTATTTTTAAAACCTTGTCCTGTTTTACATATCCAACTCAGTTAAATGTCAAGAATAAAGATCTATATGTATGCCTGTGTCTAAGAAAGCAGAGAAGAGGAATTAGTGCTAAGTCAGAAAAGTTCTATGAAAGGTACATCCAGAACAAATTTAAGGATTCTCAGCGTCCAGTTGTTCTTTTTTGTTTTCAACCCTGAAACCAGACACCAATGTAACTTGTGACTCTCACAGTCATCAAAAGATAGGCTGTGGTGTAAAAATGCAGCATTTGTAGGCAGATTAATCATAAATGTCAAATGCACTACCATGAAAGATAATACACAGAATGTCACTCCACAGGAGCAGGAACTTTGTCTTATGGCTATACCTCAAATGCCTCGAAATGTGCCAAACACATAGTAATTACTCAGCCAATGCTTGTTTAACGAAGTATTGAATGAATTGAGTTGATTAACCAAAAAACTACCATAGACAATCAGAGTGTGATATTTAGAAAAGACTATTTGAGCAATAAGTCTAAGATGAAACTGCTGTCTGGGTAAAGCAAGCAATGCTGTACTTTTACTTGGCATCAGAATCACGAGGAAAGACAGTATGTATCACCAGGAGACAGGTAAACCCCAATTAGTATGCCTTAGCCTAAAGTCAAAAGCATGATTCCTCCTGCTCTTCCCTGATCAGAGAATTTGTACATCACTAGGTTTCTGATTGCCTACTACTTGAAGAAGGCCAAAGTCAAGACTAATAGAACATATTTTGCCAGGATTAAACCAAGAGAGTCATTGGCCAAGCCATACAAAGAGCATTGTGCAGCAGGCCATTTTAGTGTTGGCAGCAGATTTTAGGGCCTTTCTTAATCTGTCTCTGTGATTAATCCTCCATTGTTTCTTTTCTTTGATTTGTTTCAGATACCTGTAGCAGAAAACAACCCTTTCCTGGTTGGAATGCACTATTGGTATTCCAGCCACAGTTCACGGACCCAGCATTGCAATATTTGCCGAGAGAGCATTCCTGCTTTGTCTCGAGATGCCATTATCTGTGAAGGTACCTTTCTGATTCCTTGTGGCTCAGTGTGTGGAGATGGAGGTGAGCAGGGACAGAAAAAGTTCATGTGGCGTTGGTGTCATGGATTCACTCTAGACCACTCACTCGGGTGTGGGATTAACCCTATTTGAGGTCAGGAAAAAAAGAAACTAGCATAAGGTAAAATTCTAGAATTGAAAATGGATGGTTGGATATGAGATGGTGGGACTGTGTGTGTGTGTGTGTGTGTGTGTGTGTGTGTGTGTGTAATAATGGAAGTTGAAATCACAGAAATCACATTATCACCATCAATATCCATTTAAGTCAGATACTTAACATTTAGCTGTTAATAATAAAACAAAACTGGAAATAAGAAACTGTTCAGAGTGTATCTTGCTTCTCATGGTCAGTGTAGCTTACGGAAGGGAATATCTCCGTTGTAACCACATTCACACCCATCTTTTTTCTTCCTCTACTCATAGTTTGCAAAGTGAAATCTCACAGATTATGTGCTTTGAGAGCAAACAAAGACTGCAAGTGGAACACCTTGTCCGTCACCGACGACCTGCTCCTCCCCGCAGATGAGGTGGTAAGTGACAACCATGACCTCCCATAAGTCCCCCTGTCCTCTGCCCCTTCAGTCAGAACCCACAAGAAGGAAGTCTTGCTCCTATCTCCAGATAGGCGAAATAGGGCTCTCCCCAGGTTCACAATTCAACAAAGCCCAGAAGAAGAAATGTGCCCACTCTCGCTTGTCACTAGCACAGGAGCTGGGAGGGTAGGATCATGCTGAACTTGGGACCTTTACCTAATGTTCACCATGGGGTAGTTTAATTGTTCCAACTGTCCTTTTCTTTCCTTGTATCTCTAACTTCTACCTTTTGGTTCTTTTTATCTTTCAGGAGACCATGCCTCATCAGTGGGTAGAAGGAAACATGCCCGTCAGCTCTGAATGTGCAGTATGCCGTCAGAGCTGTGGTAGCCACCAGAGACTTCAAGATTTCCGCTGTCTCTGGTGTAACTATACGGTAAGACTCATCTCAATTCTTCGGTACTCAGAGAACTTAGTTTCTAGAGAAAGGGTGCATTAGAGTTTGACTGTGTCTACACATAGACCCAGAGCTCACTATTCTGTCCTTCCAGATCTGACTATAGGGGTTATTTCCTAACCAGTGTGGCCTCCTAGAAAATCTGAACATCTGAACTGTCTAATGACAGTATAGACAACTTAAACTTAAAAAAAAAAAAAGAAGTTCTAAGTCTACTCCTAACTCTTCCTCATTCACGTTTTCTTAGGAATTGATAATCTTTGTTAATAATGATAAGTATTATTAATGCATTATTATTATTGCCATTACGTATTGAGTGATTTATATGCTTGGTATCATTTTATCCTTACAACAACCCTAAACCAGCCTACAAGTCCCCATTTTACAGATGATGAATGTAAGGTCTTGCAGCCAGCGATCCAGAGTCTTGACTCTACAAAACTCAACAAAGATCATGCCCCTAATTGTAATAATCCCATGCCTGTAAACCAGTGGCCCTCAACTGGGGATAATTGTCCACCCAGGAAACAAGATTGTCTATGTCTGAAAACACTTCCAATTGTCACAACCTGGGGCCACTGGTACTGGCATCTATGGGAAAGATGCCTAGATTCTGTTAACCCTCTAGAAGGCACAGAATGTCCCCCTTAATAAGTACCCAACTGGCCCAAAATGTTAATAATTTGAGTTTAAAAGACTGTATCAGACCTAATAGCCTTTTATATGCTTCTTTCAAACTTAGTTTCCTAGACAAGAAGAGAATGAAGTAAGAACTTGTTAGAATATGCTGCTACTACTCTGAATCTCTTTAATTACACTTGATTAAACAGATCAGATGTACATCCCCTAAACTTGTGTAATTGTTCAGCATTTGGTGCTTCACGATATCAGAAATCAGGGACATGGTCACTTGTGACAAAAGCAGCAAAGTCAACTCTATCACTTCCCAGCTGTTTGACCTTGGACAAGATCCTTTACATCTTGAACTTTGCTATCCTTATTTGTTTTAAATGGGTCTGTTAGTGTCTCCCCTACTACACATGATTGTGAGGATTGTGGCATAATAACAAATTATTAGCATTCACTGATTTGCAAGTAAGCACTCTATTTTGTAGACCACTAAGATTGGGCCGCCCTAGGACCCGTGTTTTCTCACTGCTTGTATATGATTATCTTCTGAAAGTCACTTCTGGAAGGACTGGAGTTCTGAGCTCACATGCAGAGTGAATGCAGCCTCAAAGTGGAGGGGAGGGGAGGGGATGACCAGATGAGTTAGAGGTATAGAGTTAAATCTCAGAAAAAAAAAAAATTGATTACTAGGAATCCAAATCTCGGACTTGGAGCACCAAATTGATCAATGTTTTTCTTTTCTCTCCCCCAACCCTTTTTTCTCTTGTCTCTCTCCCCCCTCCTTTTTTTTTTTTCTGCTCTTATCGTTTCAGGTGCATGAAGGTTGTCGGAGACGGTTTTCCAAGGAATGTTGCTGCGGAACTCATCGCTCATCCGTTGTTCCGCCCACCGCTCTCAGCGACCCCAAAGGCAATGGTGAGTTGTTAAGCCTTAACCCCAAAATGTACTAGGTGGAAAGGGGGGATACAACGGCTGGGAAAATGCATGCAACTAGATTATTCTCCTTAAACAATAAAACATTTGGAGGTGGGTAGGCATGTGCATGTGTACAAACCCCTTTTTGAGACTTTTGGGACGGTGCATGTTGATCTTGGGTGCATACGTTTGTGGGAAGGGTTTCCATGGTCTCTGTCCTGATTGTTTCCAACTAATTAAAGTTTATTGCAGCATTTTCATCACCTCTAAACACTGGATATGATATGAGTTTGTATATGTCTAGATGTCCAAGGAAAAATTGTGTGAAGGCCCAGGTTACTACTTTCAAAATGAAAACTAACACCAAGATGGTTTACAAATCTGAAACTAACATACATGATCATTGCCCCAACCCTCTTCATTGATGTTCTATGAATTCCTGAATACCCCGAATACCTATGATTTATTGAGACTTTATTTACAAGGTGCTTGAGGGCTACTGAAAGCTCTAAGACATGGAAAAGAAAAAGTCAATGTTACTTGGTGAAGTGAATGATTAATGTTATTGTAATAACTTGGGGACAAATAACAAAGAGGGAGATTTTGGGAGGGAGAAGAGGGGAGGGAGGGGAAGTGAGGGAGAAGGAGGGAGGAAGAGGGAAGATCCTCCATGATTCTAACCTGTAGGGAGGGAAGAGGGGGAGAAGTGGAAGAGGGCAAATTCCTTATGCTTCTAAGTATATATCATGAAAAATAAAAGTTAACATTGCGGATCCAGGATTTTGATATAATACAGCCATTAGCAATTAAGCATATGCTAAGTGCCAAAGGAATGATATAGACAGTGAGAGATCAGAAAATGTTAGTGTTATTAGTTCATAGGAGGTAGACGAAAAGGAGATAGCAATGAAATCAATGCAACAAATGGAAACGTATGGAGTCTTCTATCCAAAGGTCTAATGATGTTATATTAGAGAAAGCAGAAGCAAAAGAAAAGGGACATTTTGTTTAGCTTGCAGGTATGTACAGTTTTTGTGGAAAAGATAAACTATGGAAGTAATATTTGTTATAAGGAAGAAAAACAAGCGTGATCCAGGCAACCATGAATTTTAGTGACCTAGCCTGGTGACCTTGGATAATTCACATTAACTGAGATTTTCACTCCCCAGCTATAAATGGGAATAACACTGTCTATCATGAGGACAAGTGATAAAATGCAAAAAGCCTGTATAGTACCAGAGAACCTCAAAAGTATGTCTCTAGTCTTGGACAACTAAATACCTGGTTTGCTAGTCCATTTTCTTCTTCCCACTACCCGTTAAAAAGAGCAGAATCATAGATAGCTAAAAAGACTTGACCTATTTTAATAGCACGAAGAAACTGAGAAAACTAATATACTTACATTGACATGCCACTATTTCATTAAACCAGGAAAATATACAGCAATAATTAATTTCAGTTTGTGTATAGTTTTACTCTGTGATCAATTTCGCTTGCTAGACATTTCAAGTCTTTCCTGGGATGTTTAATTCATATTTCTATGATAGGTTCAGTTAAACATCTTTGACATGAGGAATGTTCACTGGTTCAGGAGATATTAGTGGATTGATATTTCACTGATTTAAAGGTTGTCTCCATAGAGGCAGGCAGTTGGCACAGCTATTAGGATGCCCTTGGAATGCCCACATTCCATACCAGAGCGCCTGAATTTGGGTTCCCACTTCACTCCTGATTCTGGCTTCCCGCTGATGCGCATTCTAGGTGACAGAAAATGAGGTTCAAGTACTTGGGTCCTTGCCACCCAAGTGAGAAAAATAGATTGGAATTTGTGCTTCAAACTTCAGTTCAGTCCAGTCCCAGCTGTGGTGGGTATTTGGGGGAGTAAACCAGCAGATGAAATGTCTGTCTCTGTCTCTCACCTTTTAAATGAAGTGAAAAACTATCCATTCATACTTCATGTATTCAATCAACAGACTCCATTTTCTGAGCATACTTTGTAATTATCCATTTTCCCTTCCCAGTCTGCTTGGTAAATTCTCATCCTTCAGACTCCATCTCAGAATGAAGCATTGGCTTCTATCTTAAAGGCTCTGTGATGAACTCTTCCTAATTCCCCAAATTTCTTGCTTTGCTGCAAACCAAGAACATGCAACCTAGAGCATGTGAAACACATTATAGTTCACCACATGTATCTCCCATTGCACACTATGAGCTCTTACATGAACTCTTATCCTTACTGCTTGACATAGCCCTGGATACATGTTATGTAGACCATCAAGATTTGTTAAATGAACTCAGTAACACTTTTACTGAATTTCGACTATACACAGATCTGAGTGCTAAGCAGTATAGAGAATAACAGAGTTGACTATGTAACGTGACTGATTCACAGGGAGACAAAATGGAGCAGCGCGGTGAACACAGGCATGCCTCAGCAACACCCTCAAGGCTTGTTCCAACTCATGTTGTGGGCCTCATTCCTAGAGTTTTTGATTGTACGGTCAGGCAGGGCTTGAGAATGTACATTTCTGACAAGTTCCCACATGCTGCTGATGCTAGTAGTTCCAGGAATGTGTACTGTGTGATCCCGGGCAAGTTAATCAAGCTCTCTGTGCCTCATCTGTCATTTGTTTTCTGCCAAAGGGAATGAAAATTGCACTCAGATGTGTTACCAAGGTTTGAATTAATATGTGTAAAAGATTTAGTAGCCTTATGTGGAGTGAAAAGAGTACATTTGAGAGGGGCTTCCGGCTCCCAGGTTTGGGCACTGTGGTTCTCTTAATGCAGCTCAAAGAAGCATGAGATATTTTTGTATGGTTCTTTCAGGCTGCTAACTCATCTGGAGCTTAAGATCAAGGAAATCCCCTAAGCCCTTTTCACACTTGGTGTTGCCAAGCCGAGTCAGTATTGTCCTGTTCGGCTACAATTTATGTCCTCAAGCCTAAAGGCCAAACTTCACATTTATTCCCTGTACATTTCATCTGTTGACATTCACCCATTTGTCTGTCCGAATCACTCTCCAAATCTGATTCTATCATCCAGCAGTTCTTTCTCCACCTTTGAGTAATTAATTCACTGTTCACAAGCCAGCTTTCTAGGTTTTCATGTGAATTGCCAATAAAGACAGGACAGAATACTTCCTTCATTATTAACATCAGCCCATTCAAAAGCAGGTTCAATGGCAGGGCTGTCTGCCTGGTTAGGATCTGTCTGACATCACTGTATTCCAACCCACAACGGCACTCAGTTTTGTCACCTTGTTCACAAAATTATATTGACAAGCCTACCCTGACTCAACTTCAGATGTTCTTTGCCTCTGGAGCAGCAGTGAGGGGACACTAGACGCAGCTGACTCTCCTGTGATTGGCTTGCTGCAGGCATGACTTCCCATTGCCTTCACAGCTGTGACCATAAGAGGCTTACCACTCAAATTCAAGTTGCCTTACTTAGAAAATTTTCTCTTTATCTAATAGTTTCCTTCCTTAACTCTGGATTATTTTATTAATAACTGAGACATACTACTCTCCTATGTATGGAGAAATGAACACCCGGAGAGGTTAAGATGCTTGCTCTTGGTTAGTGGATAAACAGGAGGGCAGTGTGCTACAGCACAAGTTCCATATTCTGTTGTAGTTGTGTGTAACAGAAAGCAGCCCAGACTCGGAGCTGCCAAACAGATTTGAAAAGAATTTCAGCTCCACTTTCGTGCAGACCCAATTAGCATAATGCTTTTCCCCCTAATTCCAAATTGAATTCTTGACTAATTAATATCGTCACATAGCTCAATTTTGAAACAAAAGAAACACATACATGGTCACTAAATAGTGAGAAGTCTTACTTGTTGCTATGCTTTTTCTATTCTTCTCGGTCTCCTAGAGCTTCCCTTTTCTCACTCGCAAGCAGCTGACTGTCCTGATTAGTCTCAGAATACTCCCTTAGGCCCCTCCGCCTCCAGCACACACTCTTCTGAATCCTGTTCTTTCTCCCTTTACAGTGTGTTTTGGGCATCTTCCCCAATTAACAAACAACTTACTCCTCATTCTTTTTAAAATAGGGTTTATTTTTATTGATTTGAAAGGCACAATTATAGAGTTACAGGGAGAAATAGAATCTTCCATTCAGTGATTCATTCTACAAATGGCTGCCGTAGTCAGGGCTAGGCCAGGCTGAAGTCAGGAGGCAGAAACTCCACCCTGGTCTCCCACATGGAAACAGGGTCTCAAGGACTTGGATGATCTTTCTTTTTAATATTTATTTTATTGGAAAGGCAGATTTACAGAGAGAAGGAGATACACAGAGAAAGATATCCCATCTACTTGTTCACTCCCCAAGTGGCCACAATGGCTGGAGCTAAGGTGATCCGAAGCCAGGAGCCTGTTCCAGGTCTCCCACGTGGGTGCAGGGTCCCAAAGCATCCGCGACTGCTTTTCCAGGCTACAAGCAGGGAGCTGGATGGGAAGTAGAGCAGCCAGGACATGAACCAGCACCCATATAGGACCTCAGTGCATGCAAGGCGAGGACTTTAGCCACAAGGCCACCATGCCAGGCCCTTGGGCAATCTTCTGATGGTTTCCCAGGCACAGTAACAGAGAGCTGGATCAGAAGTAGAGCACCCAGACCTTGAACTGTTAGGGGAATATGAGGTGCCAGCATAAAAAAATGACAGATTAATACCCTAAGGTGGTTTAACTTGTTATTCCACAATTCCAGCCCAATTTCTCACTCCTTTTACAGCTACAAGATATCCCATTATTTATATACCATGAATTGTTTAACTAGCCTCTCACTCATGCTTATTTTGATGTTCGTTATTCCTTTGCTATTGCAAATAATGCTGCAATGAACAACCCCACACATGTTGTTTGTACATACACAGGCATGGAAAAATCCCCAAAAGTGGAGTTACTAGGTGAAAATACATGAGCCTTGGCAATTTCCTTAGATGTTGTTAAATTGTCCTCCATGTGGCTTGTGTTACATAGCACCTTAATATATTAATCATGTTATTAGTGTATCAAAACATTGCCTTGTTTTCTTTTTAAAAAACTGTTGAAAGGAATGTTAGTTTGGATAATATATTCAGGGAAAGTGACCACTTCTAAGCTATTCTATGCAAAGGATGCAGCAGACTCCCCTTGTAGCCATGAATCTGACAAGGACTGAAAATTTTGCAGTATAACTGGCTAGTTGAAGGAAGATGCCTTCCAGCCCTACTGGCCAGTGAGTGGGAATTGACCCGTAGAAGAAACTCTTAGATTTATTTTTCTTTCCAGACAAAACAGCCATGATCTCTGTTTAAACAGATTTCCCTTCAGGCTACAACAAATGGGACATCTCAACTGCCCTCCCTCTGACCCCACTTAAGAGTAAGCCATGTGCTTCTGGCCCTGTGCACTTATTTTTTGCCAGGGCATTCCTGGCAAGCCGTGCACTTGGATCTTTGGGGCCTTGCTCTGAGGTCTGGTATCTCTCTCTGTGAAGGACCATTGCTTGTTGCCTGTCTCCTTGCCAACAGGTTCTAAGACTGAGCAAGAGCTGGCAGGCTGTGGCTCTTTAGACTACTTTATTGCCACTTCATCACGGGTAACTTCAGTGCTAGGGGATTAATAAAAGCTTCCCTCCCATTCAGACAATTTCCCCATAGCCTTGTTTTCCCTCGAAGTTGGTGTGATCACACGGATTGCTGTGCCAGGACCTCAGAGAAGTGATGAAAGCTCTTTGCTCCATGCCACATTGATAATGTTCTGGCATTTGCACCTGGCTACATGACAACCTTCCCTCGCCCTCATTCCTGACCTGGTCTCTTCTCATGGTGAGAACCAAGCTATCTCAGACAGAAAAAGACAGACAGTTGCTGTGCTGGTTCTCCCCCCAGAGCTCTTAATCCCCTCTTTCCTCAATTCTCCCAGAGTTTCACTACTCCTCATTTTTGGTACCAAGTTCTTGAGTTTCTTGTATATGGGTCCATCCCCACAGATCAAAACCCAGGACAATGCCTTTGCTAGTCTCTGACATGATGCACAGTGTGCAGTAGTCACTCAGCACAGTAGTCACTGTGGTCATTTGCCTGAAAAATCTACAGACTTCTAAGGCACTTTGATTGATGTTTTGATTTTCCAACTGCTCTTCAATCTCAGGAGACTGGGACTGGGATGTAAAACGTCTTAGTGAAATGCGGTGATATGAAATAATTCACTTGCATCTCAATGGCGTTCTTCCCTTTTTCTTCTTTCTGTGTCTATCAGGTCAGTTAGTAGTATCTCCAGACTACTGGAATCTCGACTGGTCATCTGCCTGTTCATGCCCCCTTCTCATCTTCATTAACTCCAAAAGTGGTGATCATCAAGGGATCGTTTTTCTCAGGAAATTCAAGCAATATCTAAACCCGTCTCAAGTATTTGACCTCTCAAAGGGTGGACCTGAAGCAGGGTAAGTGGGATAAAGGATATAGCTGGCTATGTGGCAGGGATTCCCCTGTGTACACAGAATAGACTAGGATAGGATTCCTGGGATCAGGGCTTGTATCTGCACAGGAAATATCTGTTTTGTCAGAGCAGGGTGTAAATGCGTAACGGAAGAACATTTTGGTTGATTTGTTGGAGAACATTTAACCCTCTTTCAGTGTTCCCTTTAAGCCCAAGTCCTGTTCCCAAATTTGCCTCATCTTTTCTGATTGGAAGAGGTAAAACGATGCCTCCCACCTCAGACAAAAAGACAAATGGATATTGTTTATCTGTCTTTCCTGCCATTCATTTTTCCCCCCTCAGAGCCAAAAGTAATCGTTATTACAAATCTGTTTAATTTGGGCACCATCTGTCTACGCAGAGGGTAGCCTACTGATTACCATGCAAGGTATTCTCCCTGGGCTGTAGCATATGGTTTTGCTTAGGTTACTAGTGGCTTCCAGAGCAAGCTTGGGCACTGAAGAGTGCAAATTGAGGCAAGATCTGATCTCAGGGTAATAACCTGTGGTCATAGGTATGTGCAAAAACAGGTACTAAGGGGAAGAAGGCAGGTAGCCTGTTAGAGAGATGCTGAAGCAGTGCTTGAGTCCAGAATACATTGTAAAAAATTGTAAAATCCTTATTTCATGAAATGACCTCCTTTCTCCTTCCTTCCAGGCTATGCATGTTCAAGAATTTTGCTCGCTTTCGTGTTCTGGTTTGCGGCGGAGATGGCAGCGTGAGCTGGGTCCTATCCTTGATTGATGCCTTTGGATTGCACGAAAGGGTGAGTACCTAGTTGCCACATTTTAGCCACTGCTAGAGATAGTTGATACACATATTTTAACCCCAAGAAGTCCTTATTTTCCCTACTTGTAAAATATGTATTTCCCATAGGCTGTATAGTCAAACTTGAATGGTAGATTCCTACTCTCAGCCTACTCACCTACATCATTTTGTTGTCACTCATATAAAGGAGAAATAAGAGTTGACTTGATTCTCCAGTCTTTAAAGTGAAGAGGTAAGAGGAGGAAACATGTAGATATGAAGTGGCTTTGTGCAACATTCAGCCCCCAATTTCCTTCCTCTGCTAAAGCCGAAGGCTTTATTTCCTGACTCTCAAAAGTGACAAAAACGTCCCTCCTCCTGGGAAGTCCACAGTTCTTCCTCCATGAGTTGCTGTGTCTCCTGAGGCACTCTCCTACCTTGGCCCAGGCTACGTAGACATGTGTAGTTATATTTCTCTTTTATAAACATGGATAAAAAATAATAAGCAAGCAAACAATCATGGCTGTGAATATTGGGATTTTGTAGCAACTTTACCTTTATTGACTTTACTGAGTTTTATAACGCTGAAAATGGGCCCAACTTCTTAGAGTAAAACCCGCTCAACTTCAAGCATCCTCCCATCATGCTTCCTAGAATGTGATGTCTCTTAAAGCCATTGTCTTTAAGACTGCAGTTCTTCCCAAATGTTACCTTCTGGGTTCTTTCATGGGTAGAACCTTGGTAGAACTGTCTGAAATGGATGTGTCTCCTTTTGTTCCTCCAGTGTCAGCTGGCAGTCATCCCACTTGGAACTGGTAATGATCTGGCACGTGTCCTCGGCTGGGGTGCATTCTGGAACAGGAACAAGTCACCTTTGGAAATTCTCAGCAGAGTGGAGCAGGCCAGTGTGAGGATACTAGACAGGTGAGTGGCCAAAAGACCAGGTCCTTGCATCTTTTTCACTCCCACATGAGTTCTTTCCAGTTATATAATATCAGTCAGGAATACTCTAACCTTTCTCAGAGAGCCTTATTTCCCTTCTGGCTCAAAAGTAGAACAGTTGGGGGAAGTTGGAGGGGTTTGCCACTCGGGAAACTAAAGTGTGCCATTTATCTTTCAAATATCATGGAAGCACCTCTTGAAACCTAAGAGATTCTAGACCAAGGGTCCCATAGAGATATTTCATGGATTCTGTGCATCTCTTTCAAATTACATGACCAATTACCTGTGTAAGCATGGCTTCTTGGAAAATAGTCTGTAGTGTCCTAAGTATAGTCTATGCTGTCAACAGTATAGACTAAAGGGAGCGCTCCAACTCAGAATCAATGGCTTAGATCATCTCTGTTCTAAAAAAGAAAGAATATTACCATCCCCTCTCCTGAGATGAGTAATTATCTGTGTTTGGGCATATGTGAGCATTTAATTGATGGCTGCTCATAACAATCTCCTGGAGCAGGATATCACACTCTAAGCTCAACCACAAAGATTTTCATTCAAGTAGTTTTTGCGGCAGAATCATGGTTTATGTGTTTTACAAAAGTATCTCAGATGATCTGAATGATTACTTATGGTTAAGAAGCATTTCTTTCTGAAACCAGGGAGGGCATTTCATAAAATAAAATAGGTCTCTTGTGGTATACCTTGAGAGTAGATGAGTAGAAATAGCTTGGTCATCCTCTGCCACATAACACTTTAGGTCTCTTTTAACCTGTGAAGCATTGATTTCAAGTTGGGGTGAAATGGAACTTTGAGTATCAGTTCGTCTTTTAACTTCATTTCAGATGGAGTGTGATGATCCGCGAAACTCCCAGACAAATTCCGTTGCCAAGAGGACAGGTGGAAATGGACATCCCACGATTTGAGGTAACTGCTGCACAGCTCCACCTCAGGCCAACAGCCTGATTATAGTAAAATAATAGACAAAGCCAAGAGAGAAGTTTTTGTATTGTCCATAGGCTTGATGAAGATGAGATCACTGAGGCCTAGCTATTTACCAAAAATTCTGTTCAACATTGGGGAAATAATCCATTCCGCCACTTGCTATTAATTCACTAAAAATATTTAGGGAGTAACTGTGTCATGTGAGTGCCTACTCTTCTAGAAGCTGTTCTTTTATGTGAGAGGGTAAAGAACAACACAGTCCCTGCTGTCATGGTGCTCATACTCAACCCAGAGATAGAAAAATAAATGTTTTAAATGAAGTAGCATGGGCATTACAATAGAAAGGAGTAGAATCGGAAATATGCACAGCGGTCAGTATATAGATATATGTGTAAAATCTGGGGGGGGGGGGGGAATCAGGGAAAGCTTCTCTGAAGAAGTTTCATTTCAAAGGAGACCTGAAAAAACAGAGATCAGAGAGTTAGCCAGGAGTGCAAGAAAGAGAAGACCTGTTCCAGACAGATTAAAAACACTCATTGTCCAAAGGCAAGGAAACAGCTGCAATATTTATGGAATTGAAGCACATTCATGACTTGACAAAGGTACCAGGAAGGAGGCATGCAGGGAAGATTGACTAAGATGAGGTTGGAGAAATAATCAGGGGTCAAACCAAAAAGGACCTAGTAAGCCATGGTAGTAGGTTTGGATTTTATCCTAAAAGCAATGAGAATAGAAGGGATTTTATATTATGATTATTTCCAAACGTACAACAAAGCTGAAATGGTGTATTCTACCATTAACATTTAGTGCACTTGCTTCCTAATATAGCTATCCATTTTGTAAGCAGTGATACTCTATGGTGTATGGAAAAGCAATTGAAAGTAGGGAGAACAGCTAAGAATTGCTAGTTGTCCAGGCAAGAGATGGTAGTGACTTAAACTGGTGAAGGAGTGACAAGAATGAGGCCCAGTGGACGCATTTGAGACATAGTGAAGAAATAGATTTATCAGGACCTGGTAGATGTTTGAGCATTGGGCTGATAGGGGGAGGAGCAGAAGTTTTAACCAAGAGGACAGACCAAAGAATCAGACTACCTAGAACTGAATTCCACCTCTGTAGCTTATTAATTGCTCTTTCTCTGTACCTTATTTCTTCTCTGAGAAATGGGAATGGCTAATAAATAATCCTTTTGGGTTGTTGTGAGGATTACATGAAAAAAGGACACACAAATTAGAACAGAACCTGGCATGTAGTCATTACTATTAAGTAGGTGCTATTAGTAGTAGTAGTAGTATTTAAGAGGTGGCAGTTAGACTTTGGAAAGATGTAGATTTGAATCCCAGTTCTAGTGTTTAGTGGCTAGATGTTACAAGACTGTTTGGTCAGTGAAAACATGGAGCAAACAGTGTTTCCCTCCATATGACTTCTAATCTCCTCACATGATTATTCATTTAAATATCAGGAAATAGAATGTTTCTCTTTTTTTAAGAATAACTATAGGTCTAAGATTATCTCAAAAATTCTCTGATTCAGGCTCTTCAATGAGTCCTTTGTGATTATTTCCAAAAGAAAATAGTTGAGTTGCTGGTAAAGCAAATAAGAAACCATAGGGCTGTGGGGGATGAGAGTGGACAACATGTTGCGTCACAGTGCAGTGATTCCAGGACTGAATACCCTTTTCAAACCCTCAGGCTGCTGCCGTCCAACACTTAGAATCTGCAACTGCTGAGCTGAACAAAGTGCTGAAAGCCAAATATTCCACAGAAATGATCATTGCAACCAGGTCAGTCTTTCTTGGGGTGTTTTTGTCCCTCAGAGTTTGGGAATCCAAGTCAGATACAGGGTTGATTTTAAGAGCTTGAGGAGTTTAGGGAATGAAATGGTATGTTTAGCATTTCAAATGGAATTTTTCCTAACTAAACTTTCCAAATGGAAAATTTAGAAAAGAAAGATAAGATTGAAATGAGGGTTCCTGCTGCTTCAAAAAATTAAAACTTCAAGCCAGAGTCTTGGAAGGAGGATTACAAAGGGGAAACAGAACAATCCAGACCATTCAAGAGCATAGTGCAGCTCATCACAATATGGGCATTTTGCTTTCTGTCTTTGAAAATGGTGCAAGGCTCTTTGGTGCCTGCCTATAACTTCTTCTCAATACTCATCATTTCTCTCACTTGGAATTCCTGGGTGGAGGCAGAGAGTTTTGTTCAGTGTATGATAACCTCCTGTGAAAACATCCCCCCCCCCCAGCGACCTTTCAATGCCATTAATTTTTGTACTAAGTTTTGCCCCTGAACAGAGCTGACTGACCCAGAGTGAAAATTTGAGTCATGGTGCTATGTAAATTCTGTTTACTGGAAACTAAGGACTAAGAAATGCTAGTTTAACTCTCTTGGATGTTTGAGCTGAGAAGCGATGTGAAACTGCATTAGAGTGGAGATGGAGCAAATTTCACATGTACAGAAAAAAAAACATGAGAGAACGAGAGAGACAGCAGGTGAGGCAAACAGGGGAGAAAAGAACAGGAAGAAAGGAGAGAGAGGAAAGATCAGGAAAGCAAGGCAAAGGAAGAAGATGAAGACTAATAATGTTATAAGAAGGAAAGGCTGTGAGCGTCACTCCTGGTCCATGACATGACATATCATATTATCCATCCTATCTTTGTAGATTCCTGTGCTCAGCAGTTGAAGATTTTGTGACTGATGTTGTAAAGGCCTGGAGTCACATCAAGCAGAATAACACAGCAATAGAGTCTGTGATTTTGAAAGTAAGTTTCCATTTGTCTTGTCCAATGCATTTTGTGGAGCCAGGAGCTCCTTTTCAATAAAGGGAAGTGTCTCTCATTACAAATGGAGGACAAGCTGGGGGACTGGGTAGGATTTCTTGATAGGGTAGGTCCAGTCCCGTCAAAGTTCTATCCTTTCCAAATGAAGAATGGCACCAAGCATGCAGATTCAGTGCATGTATGTTAACATTTGAAAAGCATCTGTCCAGAATAAGACATAAGTGTTCACCATGCATGTGTGCACCCGATTTATACCAGAACATGCTTTGAAATGCGTACATACAAATACACACAAAAATATGCTGATATTCATCCAACAAGAGCTATCGCTTTCCTAGTACTCACTCTGCCAAGGACTGTCCTAAGTGCTTTTACTGTGTTTCTGAATTCCATCCTCACAAGTGCCCTAGAACATGGAGATACAAAAAAGTGACTTACCTCTTCTCACCAACTCTCAAGTGGGACTCAAAAGCATAAACTATATAAAGGCAGATACCAAATACCCTTGAGAAGCAAGCCCACATCCATAGGAGCATACATATGGAAATGCCATTCTAGAAATACTTCTTTCCTCAAGTTCTCCTTGTTAACAAATAATTCTGGAAATCATTGTGACATGAGAAACATTTGGCCATATACATTGATGCATGGGGCTGTTCAGCAACAAATGATGCATGTTGAGTCCCTGTTGATTATTTCATCACATCTACTCACGTCCTTTCCCCAATATACTTCAACTCACTGCATGAGGCTTTCTATGCTAAGTGTCCTACACAGCCACTATCCCTTTCCACCTCCCAACTATACCATCTCTGTTCTTTATTATTCGATCCTCTAAAGCACCAGCCCCTAATGACAGTGTCCCATCTCCTTCCTCCCCATACAGAGCGACCTAATGTATGAGAAGCTGAGTGTCCTGGTTGATGTCCTGGCTGAGGATGTAGCAGCTATCTCTGCTAAGAAAGGAGCTGCAGTACATGCAGATGGTGGCAAATCAGATGGAAAGCCCTGTGTCTCCCAAATGGACCATATAGGCAATTCTAAGTTAGAGTTGGCCACAAGGGCCCATAAACTCCAGAAATCCTTGAAACTCATCATATTCCAGGTTGAACAAGGTAAGATACGTAAGGTTGTGGTGACTGGGGCAGAGGAAAGGAAAAATCCCTAGTGAGGTGTTTACCCGTTTCCCTAACTCTATGTTTGCTATATGACTTTCCCTATTGAAACTCTGCATTCACATTGACTAGATTCTGCATTTAGATTATATTCAAAGTCACTCCTCAGATTCTGCTGACTTGAAAAGTTTCAGTTCTGATAATTTGCCACTTTGGCTCCTCCTATCTCCCAGGGACTGAACTAGTTCTATTCATTTCTTGGAACAAACATTCAAATTTTAAGTGGCGCAGTTCAAAGCTCTGTTAGTTCCCACCACCAGGGGTGGGATTTTTTCCCTCCCAAAAGCCAAGCCTATTGCTATTTTAGAAAGAAAGTAATTTTCATTCCTGTATGTCCTATACAGTGGTAATCAGGCACAAGACTAGAGAGTGGTCCTGGTGGCTCTGGAGCTGATGGACACTGCCCAGAACACATGACAATCTGGAGTCTTCTGACTCAGTATGAAAACTCTTTCAACTCCCCCAACTCCTTCCCTTAACACTTCTGTGATCAATTTCTCCCTCATGGTTTATTTGAAAAAAAAAATCAATAGGCGGTATAAAGCTAAGTGGGGTTTTTTAAATTTATTTATTTACTTTTATTTGAAAGGCAGATTTTACACAGTGAGGAGAGACAGAGAGAGATGGAGGAAGAGAGAGATATCACCCTCCTGCTGGTTCACTCTCCAGATGACCACAACAACTGGAGTTGAGCTGATCCAAAACCAGGAGCTTCCTTCAGGTCTCCCATGTAGATGCAGGGGCCCACGGACTTTACCCATCTTCTTCTGCAGGGAACTGGATCAGGGCTAGAGTATCCCAGACACAAAGCAGCACCCATATGGGATACTGGCCCTTGTAGGTGGAAGATTAAGTCTGTTACACCACCACACCAGCCCTAAGCCAGGTGTGTTCTAACTGAGCTATTTAGAAATGAGCAAAAGTCCCTCGTAATAAGGAATTTCCTTTTGTTGGCCTTCGACTTTCAGCCTTAGTATCCTCTGCCTCCGAATTTCACATGAAATCTCCGTCAATTTTCAAAGAAAGTGTGAGAGGAAATATCCCTCCTGCATTGTGAAAGAATTAAACAGTTAGTTTGCCTCTATTTCTAGAGTTCATTTTCAAGTAGTAGGGATCAGATTAATCTGATGTAACCATAACCCTGTGGTAAACATATGTTATGTTTAAAAATGTGGCCTGCGGCTACAGAACACAGAAAGACCCCCCTTCCCTGGTTAGGGGAGGAAATCAACCCATGGACTTTGGCACAAGCTGAGCACTTGCACTATGCAACATATATGCTGGTGAAATGAAGCATACTAAAGTCCTAGATATGACTGAGACATGTGAATGCAAGAGTAGCTTGATCGTATTGGATCAAGCCTGGACGAAAGTCATATAAGCAGATGGACTGACAGAATGAATGTGGAGGAGTAGAGATTTTCTCACCCTCTCCACCCCTGCCCTGACAACTCTACTCATAACCACGCACACCAGGTGACAGAATGAAGAGTGGCCTGTAAAACAGAAAGTTCATCATAGATATGAAAACACGTGGCTGTTGTAGGGAATCTGACACAACAAACAGCATCACGGGGCAGAAGTGAAGTCAAACATCTACCCACACACTAACTGGTGTTAACTAAACAAAATAGATGTGAATAGAGGTGACTAAATCTCCATTCCACCCTTTCATTATTTCTCCCTGCATTCTGTTCTTTTTCTTAGCTCTGGATGAGGAAAGCAGACAATCCTTATCACTCAAGAATGTTACTTCAACTTCAACTTTCTTCCTGGAAGATGACAGAGAGAGTGTTAGCCAGACAAGCCCACAACACCGTAAGGATCTTTCTCTTCTTAATTTCCCATTCTAGTGTTCATCACTGCTATCTAGTTCCTAAAGCACAAACATGTGCTTTCATGCATTCTCTTGAAGCTATAGTCCTACTCTGCAGCCCTCCTTTCCCCATGCCAGTGCCCAGAATAAATGAACCCATTGGTGACTTTAAAAAGACTGGCTTAATCAAATCCTAGATTTGAAGCTGTTTTCACTACCAGCAAGCGAGCAGTCTAGCATTTTACCACTCTTTCGGTGAAAGTGTCTTATCTTTCCAAGAGAATTTATCTTAGAAATGAAAACCCTGAAAGTTATCTATGGGTATGTTGTTTAGATTGATTCTACCCCCTCGCAAGTTAAATAACGGATAAAGGTATTTTTGTTTGCACCTGACACCAAGGTGGTGTTTCTGTGTCTAGGTTCTCGTCTTCGTGGTGCTTTGTCTTCTATATCTTCTCTCCAAAATGAGGACTTAGACAACCTTAACTTGGAACACTTACATTTTACACCGGAAACTATGTAAGTATTTAACCTTATCATTTCAATAACTTCTTCTATCTGGGAAAGAATACAACCTCAGGGAATTCAGAATCAAATTCTGACTCTATTTCCATGACCTACAAAAGCAGCTTAACCAGTCTGAATCTCAGTTTCCTCACATGTCAGATGCAGACTATTGTAGAACTTACTACATAGGTTTATTGTCCACTATAAAGTGTTCTATGTGTTAGAAGCTAGTAACCGCTTACTAAATGTTACTTGTTAATTCAATAGGCTTATTTTCCTTTTTAACCTTACCAGTAAATGACTTAGATATAAAATAATAAGTGATCATTGGGAGACATGATAATAAACCCGAGAATGTCTGTCTCACTAGACCTATCTCTTCAGAATTATTTCCAGCCATCAAATTCTGTGATGTTCACTCCTTTTGGGCTCTGTTAGTAAGATCAATTTATATATCTGCTAGTAAAACTCCAATTTCTGGACTGCGGTTAAAAAAATCACTTTTTAACAAATAAAAAAGTTATCTATTATTAAAATTGTTAAGCTGTTCTGATTTTCAGTTTCTCAGAAAAAAACACAAGCAACAAATATTTGCAATTTCTTAAATAGTTTACTTCAGGAAAAAATTCTTACTCCTACTTCTTACCTCCCCACTCCCTTTAACTTTCCATTGGCTTGGGTTCATGTATGAAGTCTCATTGATCTACCTAATGAGTTTTGATAGTATATTGGCAAGTGTCAAACAACCAGCTCTGCAGGGTGGGTGTGTGGGGGGGTCTCTGACTTACTCCTCCTACGATGATCCATTCCAAATTATTGATAGAATGCAACTGAATGCAAAGTTGGTGGAGAGCTATGCATAATCATTTTGTACCAGCTGGTAGAACCAACTGTAATTTTGACATACCATTAATTTTGACATTGACATCCTAGATGAATACAGGAGACTCAAAAAGACTGCTTTGCGGTTGTTGTTGTTGTTGTATACATGTCTTCCCTCTTTTATCAGTCTTTACCCCACAAATATGTGATCATTTTGCTCTTTGAGGTAAAATGCCACAAAAGAATTAGCAAAAAAGAGTAGTAGAAAACACAATTCTTATATTCGTCTTTGTGACAGTTGAGAGTTCTTTGTAGAATAAGTCAAGCATTCTATTTCCCTTTATTATACAAAAGAGCTTTAAAATTTCATGAGAAACAGAATTGAAGATAATTAGAATTTTCCATGAAAATCCCTTGTAGAGGAGAGAAGGGAAGAACCCCTATCTTCTAAATCTGCATCATGAAAAATGGGAAATCTACTAATTTTATGTAAATTAAAATAAGAATAAGAAAAGCTAAAAAAATTAAAAAGAACCCTTGTATATGGCTCATTCATATCTGAGGCCTCCAAAGATGACGGCTAAAATCATGCATGTTGCCTTTTTGCTCTGGCTTCCATTCCCACTGAAGCTTCCCACATGCCTGAGCATCGTCTACTACATTTATTAAGTTAGATGTTGACACAGTGGGACATGTGTGCCTCTCAAGAGCATTCTGATTTGTGTCTAGTATATAGGAGATCTAGTTTCAGTGTAATGACAATGGTACTTCTTCCCTGCACCAACATTTGCTATCTTCTTTGGCTAATTTCAGACGCTTCAAAGAAAAATGTGTCATGAACAACTACTTTGGAATTGGACTGGATGCTAAAATTTCTCTGGAATTCAATACCAGAAGAGATGAACACCCAGGACAATACAAGTAAGGAACAAATTACCTGTCTACATGGTATTCACATTTGTAACACACACATGAGTTTGTTGAGTGTATTTACTACCACTGAAACCCTGAAGCAGGTTAATTTTACAAAGAAAAGAATTTTACTTAGCTCATAGTTCTAGAGATTCCAGGAAATGATAGTTGTATTAGCTTGGCTTCAATTGGTCTCATGGCCTCATGGCAGAAAGAGACTGAAGGATCGAGCTTGCTCTTACAACTTGTCCTATATCAGCTACATTAATCCCTTCCCTTTTGAGGGCAGCACCCTCACCAATCTAAAGGCATTCCACTAGACCCCATCTCTTAAACACCTGCATCACCTCCTAACACTCCCACACCAAAGATCAAAGCCTCTAATACCTGAACCCTTGAAGCTCACACTGAAAGAATTATCATACCATAGCAACATATGTATTCCCACATTCCCTACATCTCTGACAAGTAACAAAAGAGATTCTTTAGATGTAAAATGAATTGATATCAAGAAAAGTCAATTGAGACTACTTGTCCTGAATCCTGATCTTGTCTGGCATCCTGAACTTCAGAGATCGCCTCACAGACTAGATCTGTGGATTGCTGTACAAACACAGTTACTTGTGGAACCACTACACAGAACACATCCTGCCTCAGTTCAGGAAACTACTTACATTTGCTCTGTCTGTATGAAATTCCCCAGGCCTTAGTAGTAGCTCCAGATCTGTTTCGCTTGATGATGCAGCAATGCATCTAGCAGCCACTGCTACTAGAAGTTCCTTGTCAGTGCAGATACACTAGCAGATGTCTGACTTGCAGGTAGCTTCTCCCAATCTATTGTGTATCATTTTATTTTCTTAGCTGTGTCTTTTTCAGTGTTTATATTTTATTTTGATTTTCTTGATTAGCCATAATTGCACATCTTTATGAGCTTCACGGTGATATTTCAGCACAGGTATACAATGTATAAAGATCAAAACATGCTTTTGAGCATTCCCTTTCTTTGACATTAAGATTGGCGGTTTGGCACTTCTGTCCACACAGTACAAACCAAATTACTCCAAATTTGTCTCCCCACTATATGTGCAATACTTGCAGCTTTGATCTGTGTTTTGATATCCACTATTCAAAATTCCTCTGTTCCTCTCACCCCTTTTAATCTCCAAAATCACCATTCTGAATTCAGATTGAGCTTTTTTATATTATTTTTAGCTCTCATGTGTGAAGGTGAACATGTAATATGTGTCTTTCTGTGTCTAACATCTTTCACATTACATAACATCCTCCAGTTACACCTATTTTGCTGCAAGTGAGTGAAATAGTATATATATATATATGTATATGTATATGTATATATAATTTTCTTGATCCATTTAGCTGATAATAGATGCCTTGGTTGATTCCATATTTTGACAGTTGTGAACAGTATTGAAATAGATATGATGGATTAAGTTTCTCTTTGATACAATGAGTACATGTCTTTTGGATATATTGCCAATAGCAGCATATGATACTATTGCTGAGTTTTAAAGAAATCTTGATATTTTTGTTCAGTGACTATAATTTCCCATGAATAGTGTATTAGAATTCACTTTTCTCCGAATCTTTGCCAGCAATTCTTGTTTTCTCTCTTCTTGACAATAACCATTCTGACAAAACTGAGATGATATTTCATTAGGGTTTTGATTGGCATTTTCCTGGTGACTAGTACTACTGATCTCTTCCTCATGTTTGCTGGTCATTTACACTTCCACTTTTAAGAACTGTCCAAATCCTTTATCCTTTTCTTAAGTAAAATGATTGTTTTCTTAATGTTGTTGTTGAGTTTTTGGGCTTCTGATATATTTGTATATTAATCCTTTATCATAAAAGTATCTTGTAAATATTTTCCCCCTTCTAGCAGATGCCTCTACACTATATTACATGTTTCCTTTGCAAAACAGAAGCTTCTTAAATTAGTTCAATCCCATTTATTTTGTTTTGTTTTGTTACCTGTGCTGTTGGTGTGTTATTAAAAAACTATTGCTTACACAAATGTCTTCAAGTGTTTCCCCCCTCCTCTTTTTTTTTCAAGGAATTCCATAGTTTCAGGTCTTTCATTTAAGTCTTTGATCGATCTTGAATTGTGTAGGTGATAGACAGGGATCTAATTTCATTCTTATAGAAAGTTTCTTATGTGCAGTTTGTCAGCATTGTTTGTTGAATAGACAATCAGCTTTGTAAAAAAAGCAACTGTTTGTATGCTTGTAAATTCGTTTCTGGATTCTGGATTCTGGATTCTGTCTCATTGAACTCTGTGTCAATTTTTGTGTCACTATCATGCTGTTTTATATACAACAGCTTTTTAGTATGCTTGGAAATCAGATATTGTGCTGCCCTTTCCTGCCCTGCCTTCCCCTCCTCTCTCTTCCTCTTTCCCCTCCTTATCTCACTTCACCTCACATCTCTCCTCTCTTCCTTTTCCATCTTTCCCTTCCTTTCCTTTCCTTTCTTCTCTTGCCATGCCCTGTTTTCCTTCCTTTCTTCTCTCTCTCACTTTTTCCTTTCCTTTTGTTCCCCTCAGGATTGCTTTGACCATTCTAGGTGTTTTGTGGTTCCATACAAATTGTAGGATTTTTAAAAATTCTCTAAATAATGTCATGGGTATTTTGTCAGAAATTACAGTGATATATAGATTAGGTAGCACAGATATTTCAGTTGTGCACATATATAAGCAAAGAATACATTTTCATTTTTACATCCTTGAATATTTCATCAGCATTTTATGATTTTCATTATAGAGTCCTTTTACTTCTTTGGTTAAATTTATTCCTAAGTATTTAAATTTTGTAGCTACTATGAATGGGATATCTTTTTTAATTTCTCTTTGAACTTCACCATTACTGGTGTACAAATTTTTTATTGCTTTATTCAATTTATTTTTAATCTTACTACCTCAATGAATTGGGTTATCAATTCTAACAGGTTTTGGTGAGATGTTTATGTGTTTCCGTGAACAAATCTTTTTATTTGCAAACACGGTTATATTTACTTTCTCCTTTCGAAATTTTGATGCTCTCTATTTCTTTCAGCGCTGTAGTTGCTCTTTTTGTTTTTGAAAAGCTTTTGTTTATTTATTTAAAAGAGTTACAGGACCTAGTGGCTAAAGTCCTTGCCTTGCAACTGCCAGAATCCCATATGGGCTCCAGTTCGTATTCTGCTTGTTCCTCTTCCCATCCAGCTCCTTGCCTGGGAAAGCAGTGGAGGACGGCCCAAAGCCTTGGGACCCTGCTCCCACGTGGGAGACCCAGAAGAAGCTCCTGGCTCCTGGCTTCAGATCATTTTGGCTCTGGCCATTGCAGCCATTTGGGGAATGAATCAATGGATGGAAGATCTTTCTCTGTCTCTCCTTCTCTCTGTAAATATGCCTTTCAAGTAAAAATAAATAATAAATCTTTTTTTAAAGTCAGAATTTACAGGGAGACAGGGAGAAAGAGAACTTCCTTCTGCTGGTTCATTCTAGATGGCCATGAAAGCCAGGGCTGGACCAGGTCAAAGTCACGCGCCTGTCTCATTCTCCCATAGGAGTACAGGGGCAAACAAACACTTGGGCATCTTCTGCTGCTTTTCACAGGCCATTAGCAGGGAGTATAATCAGAAGTGAAGCAGCCAGAACACAAAACCTGCTCCCATGTGAGATACCAACCAAAGGCAGCATCATTATGGTCCCTTTACTGCTCTTGCTAATACTTTCAATATCATAGTGAATAAGAATGGTGAAATTGGACATCCTTGCCTTGTTAAAAAATTGAGGGGAGCTGCTTTCATTTTCTTCCTAATTTTTTGTGGCTGTGAATTAGTCATACACAGCTTTTATAATTTTGAGGTATGTTCCTTATATACTTGATTTGCTGTGAGATTTTATCTTGAAGAGATGGTGAATCTTATAAGTGCTACATCTCTTGATATGATCTAATGTTTTTTTTTAATTTCATTCTGTTGATGTGATTTATACCTATTGATGTGCTCATGTTGAACCATTCTTGCATCTCTGTAATTAAAACCTCTTCATAATGTGCTATCTTTTCAATGCAGTATTGGATTGTATATACTAATGCTTTGCTGAGAATTTTTGCATCTATGTTAATCAAGGATATTGCTCTGTCATTTTGTTTTCATGTTGTCTTTGGTTTGGATATCAGAATAATGAAAACGAGTTTGGAAGAGTTCCATTCTTATCAACATTTGTAATTGTTTTAAAAGTACTGGGGTTATTTCCTCTTTAAATGTTCTATAGAACTCAAGTGTAAGGCTGTCAGGTCCTCAGTTTTCTTTGATAGATATTTTCAATTACTGCAGGACACAGGAGAGACTACTGCTTCCAGTTCCCAGAGGGTATACAAATGTGATGTTGGGGCTTATGCCCTGTTTAGCCAGCATGCTGTGCTAAGACGTGCAGAAAAGAACTTCCTCAGTTCCGATCTTCGGGAGTTTTCACATGGGCTGGCTGTTTCATCTTCCTACTAATGGCTGGGGAAAGTAGCAGAGGATGGTCTAGTTCCTTGGGTCTCTGTCACCTACCTGGGAGACCTGAATGAAGCTCTTGGCTCCTGGCTTTGGAATAGCCCAGCCCCAGTCATTATAGCCATTTGGGGAGTGAGTCATCAGATGGAAGATCTCTCTCTCTCTCTCTCTCTCTCTCTCTCTTTCTTTTTCCCCCACTCTGTTTTTCAAATAAATAAAACAAATCCTTAAAAATATACAGGTCTGATATCTGAAACAGCCCTCTACTTTGCCAGAAATGTCACTGTTGCTAAGAAATTGAAGTCTAAAAGTCATGTTTTAAATGAAATTGACTCCAAGTACCTGAATTCTTGTGCTCCTGAAGTAGCCCTGCTAGGGTAACTGTTGTGTGACAGCTTTTTCTAAGCATTGCTTTCTCAATATAGCCAGGTTCTTCCAAATCTGGACCAATACAACAGCAAGGAGAAGGGGAAGTTTTATTTATTGGCTGGATGTTAAGACATCAAAAGGGCCCAGCATTTCTGCAAGTGTGTAAACGGCATAGCAGTTATACTTAACCCAGCAAGCACAATTATGTAAGGTTGTCTTTGCTGTTTGTCCACATCCATGTATCTTTACATCATTCACCATCTTTGTCTCTCTGCAGTAGCCGCCTGAAGAACAAGATATGGTATGGCCTTCTGGGGAGCAAGGAACTTCTATACCGTTCTTACAGGAATCTGGAAGAACGAGTGCACCTGGAGGTTAGTGGAAGTGCAATAGTCCTTCTGAGTGGTGGAGAAAGAACACCTCAGGCCACTGGGAATCAAGTTTCCCTCTGTCTCAGCTTGAACTCTGTGACCCTCACACAGAGTCATGAGAGGAAGGGTAGAAAGACATATTTCCATCTTATGGATACGATGGATTTCCATGTTATAGGTAAAGAGATTATAGCATTGTGCTAGGCATTTAATCTAATGAATAAAATGACTCTATATCCCATGTCAGAGAGCCAGAGTTTGATATTCAATTCTATCTGGCTCATGAGTCCAGCAAATACAGTTCCTAACTCTGGCTCTGGCTCAACCCCATTCTTTGCAGACATTTGGGGAGTGACTTGGTGTATGGAAAATCAATCTGTGTGTATATGTGTGTGTGTAAAATTAAATGAATTATTAGATTTGATTTAGTTAATTGATCTTCACATGTTTAATTAAATTAAATATTCACTTATTTAGGTGATTTATATCTATAGCTCTTGAGTAAAACATTTAAAATATTTTTTTTTTAAAAAAAAGAAAATGAAGAGAATACAGAGCCCTTCCCCATCTTCACAAATGCGCTTCTTGGTTGGTATCAGAAAAGCCAGGCACTGAGAGCTAATCTTTTCTTTCAGTGTGATGGAAAAGTTATCCCACTGCCGAACCTGCAAGGCATCGTAGTACTCAACATCACCAGCTATGCCGGAGGGATCAACTTCTGGGGAAGTGACACAGCAACCACGGTAAGTAGGGTACAAGGAAGGGAGAAGAGAAAGCCATGGCTCAGAGAAGAGAGATGGACTCATTAGAGTAGAAAGTAGACAGTAGAAGAAGTGATTGGGGGCTGTGGTTTTATTAGCCAGAAATTGTATGATTAATTCTTTTAAGACCTATTTTATTTATGTAAAAGTCAGAGTTACAGAGAAGAGGGAGAAACAGGAACAGAGAAAAATCTTCCACCCATTGATTCACTTCCCAAATGGCCACAATGACAGGAGGTGGGCCAGGCTAAAGCCAGGAGTTTTTTTCTGAGTCTCTCATTCGGTACAGGAGGTCCAATATTTGATACATCTTCCACTGTTTTCCCAGGTTGTTAGCAGGGAACTGGATTGGACGTGGAGCAGCCAGTATTTAAACAAACATCCGTATGGGATGCCAGCATTGCATAGTGGCTTAAGCCACTAGACTACAATCCTGGCTCCTGCTTGATTAGTTGTTTAAGCGATTACCATCCCTTAGAACACAAATCAACTAAAGATCTTGGCTATTTCTTGGGCTTTGCTTTTTCCACTTCTCAGGCCTGACATATCCTTATAAGATTGTCTAGGCCATTTTCTTTTCTCCAAGGAGATCCATCAGTAAAATTCCTGGGAAAACTGGCCATGATCTTTTTCTTGTGAGATCATCTGAGAAGGTCATGAAACCAGTAAGACTGGTCCTGGAGATTTCTGGTGCTGGGTTGGAAAGGGAAGGAAGCAATTGTGATCTCAAAATGGATGATGAGTGGGATCACAGTGCCCTTTTTCCAAACTGGTTTCCTGGATCCATCTTCTCATCCTTCCATGGCCTTGACCAATTTTTACCAGGAGATTTCAAATCACACCTAGTTTTTTAGGGACCAGATATGATTTCGCAAGGGTGAAAAATGTGACACAGCTTTTCCTCCTCAGGAATATGAGGCTCCTGCAATAGATGATGGGAAATTGGAAGTAGTGGCAATCTTTGGTTCTGTGCAGATGGCAATGTCCCGAATCATCAACCTGCATCATCATCGCATCGCCCAGGTAGGCAGGGGCCAGATGGGCACTAGGAAGGGACTGAATCTTCTGGCTGTCTGCCAAGACGTAGAGCAGTCCCAGGAATTAGCAAGAGATGAGAGTTCCAGGATGGAGGGGTCAGGTTATCTGGTGGGCATCAAGGTGCTGACTGAGGCTGGAGACAAAGACGATGGAGGCAAGAGGAGACAAAATTGTTTCTCCTTGGGATAATCCAATAACATCCCTTGCTGGTGCTGCTTCAGACACACTTTCAAGCTGTAACTATGAGATTTTAAGATTGATCTCTGATAATTACCTGATTTAATGCACCCCATTCTACTCCTCTTCTCTTGCAGTGCCATGAGGTGATGATAACCATTGATGGTGAAGAAGGTATCCCAGTGCAGGTGGATGGGGAAGCCTGGATTCAGAGACCAGGCATAATCAAGATCAGATACAAGAATGCTGCCCAAATGCTTACGAGAGATCGGGTAAGAAGGGAAAGGTTTGTCTTGGACTCTTACATGGTCCCATCCACACTGTTCACTTAAGTATGAATACTTCCAGTTTGAACAGAATTCTTTAGAGGTCTGCATGGTTCTTGCATGAAAACATGAGAGTGATCCAGGGTACTAATTATAAATGCACACTCCTAGGACCCATGCCACACCCATTAATGTCCCTAGAACATTCCGTTATACTCTGCCACTTGCAAATGAGTTAGACAAGTAACTCCTGCTTATGGCTTTGGGCAGCCTCATGTGTGCTGCACAGAAAACTAACGGCCTGAGGTGGTCATGGGAGAATTCTCCTTCAATAGCAAATTATGCACTGAAATTGCCTTAAGTTTCCCCAAGCTGGGCTGGGGAATATCTGGTCTTCCAGGCCACATAAGACTCAGGAAATCATTTGCTCTGGCTCTTCCAAGTCAATTACAAGTGGGACTTAAACTTCAGTATACCTATGGCAACCTGATTTTTAAGCTGATCATTTTTTATAGCCTGCCAATGATGTTATACACAAATGGCCCTTGACAGAAACAAAAAGTTCCTCCCTCCTACATAAGGTTTCTTAAAATATAGCATTCACAACTGCCACACACTCAAACTTAGAACTAGAAAGGAAGCATTCTGAAGATTGATTGTATGCTCAGGGCATACAAGCTGTCTTCCCTTCTGACTTGTGAACAGTTCACAGAAGCAGCAGCAAAGTGAAGAGAGAAGTCCACTTTACAAAGTGGCTCCTTCATGCTCAGCACTTTACATGCATCCTCTCATGTAGATCTTCTGACCGACATGTCTATGAAGTGAATGCACTAAAATGACAAGAATTAAGACCAAAATGGTTAAATAGATCAGCACATGGCTAACAAATGCCAGAAGAATGACTCAAAATTAAATTGCCTCTACACAATGTGTAGCAAAAGAAGAAGCAGGAAAGACTGTGTTATTGCTCATGGTACCCTCATAAAGGAGCTTTAGGCTGAGAGGAAGCTATCTGATTTAAGCCTGGTGCCCCAAGACCTGGTAAATTGACATCAAAACTGGAAATGCCTAGACCAAAAGAGACATTGATTAAAGTAATGGATGGATACAGAGGTGTATGGATAAATGGATAAGAGGATGAACTTTACCCATAGTATAGCCACTTTTCCCCAAATTACAACTATCAGACTCATAGAAAATGGGTCACACGACTTCCTAATCATGGCAACCATTAGAATCTGCCATTGTGTTCATTTCCAGGACTTTGAAAATTCAATGAAAATGTGGGAATGCAAGCATACTGAAATTCAAGCTGCCCTGCAACCCCAGATGGACTCAGAGGAATCGCAAGATATCCTCTCTGATGAGGAGCATGCCCAGATACAGCACTTGGCTCAGCTCGCAGAAAATCTCATCAGCAGGTGAGCAGGGTAGCCCAGAGACAGGACTGAACATGTCAGGAATGTCAAGGAGAAGCAGGCAGTTTGTGTGTCTAGTGGCTACCAGGAGGCCTGGCCTCAGAAAGGACTCTTGCTTAAAGTTCTGAGGATTGGGTCCTGAGCAATTTAGGCAGAAAATATTCCTTGTGATCAGCAATCAGCCAGCTTGTACCCTTCCCATATGTCCCAGAGGTGAATTTCTATATCCTCTTGCTGTCCTAGACCAAAACAGAACTTGTGCTATCCACCTCTATTCCAAACTTCCACCCTACCCAAGTTCCCAGCAATTGAAATAGGATGAGACAAAGCTGGCCAAAGGTGAATACTGAAAGAAGAATATAGATTTTCTGTTTCTTAAAAAAAGTTTATTTGAAAGTTAGGATAACAGGATACGAGAGAGAGAGAGAGAGAGAGAGAGAGAGAGAGAGAGAGAGAAGAACCAGGCTGAAGCCAGGAACCTAGAACTCCCTTGAGTTCTCTAATGTTAGTGGCTCCTGCCAAGCACTTGGACCATCGTCTGTTGCTTTCCCTAGTGCATAAGCAAATAGCTGGGTTGGAAGTGGAGCAGGCAGGACTTGAACCAGTGCTCTAGTACGGGATACCAATGTTTCCGTCATCAGGTTAACATGCTGCACTACAACTTTATTCCTAGAAACAGTTTCCAATATCAATGGTTACCTAGAAAAAGGGAATGACAGGAGGAAATAAAGAGTTCAAGTTAGGTATCCAGGGCTTCCCTTTCTCCTCTTATCCCAACCCTCTCCAGAACCCCAAGCTGGAAATCCTTCAGAGCTCCTAACTCACCTGTCTGTCCTTGTTTTATTACAGACTTAATAACCTGATCAAAGTCCACCAGCATGTGTCTGTGCTCATGGATTCTGTGAATGCCAGTGCTAACATCTTGAAAGATGTATGTCATGGTCAAGACAGCAACGATGAGGCAAATGTGGCTTTATGCACTCCCATTGAGGTAAGGAGCAGTGGGCAAGAGGGTCTGGGGAAAAGGAGTTAACACACATAGGGAAGGAGGATGAAATGGAAGAAAGGGGAGCCAGAGGCTGGATGGAGAATCTAGGCAAATGATACAGCAGAAAAAAAATGACAGCAAAATGGAAGGTAGTCATTCCTTGACTCAAAACAGATCCATGGTGGCTCCTGGGGGACTCCCACAGTAGATTTCATCATCCTGAAATCTATCCTTTCTCCCCAACAGATATCCTAGGCTCAGGGCAGAAGTGACCTACATCTAGATAGCTTGGTCTTAACGTAGCCCTTCTTCATCCCAAGTATATACCTACCATCAAAACCCAAGTTCCAAGGGGCCTTGGTTTCCTTCTTGAGGACAAGAGCTCAATGAGGACACTTAATGTTAAATGTGCAATCCCGCACTTTTGCCCATTGCAAGATTTAAATGGTTCTTTTAAAAAGTAACTTCAGTACTAGGCTTAAAGATACACTAGAGTCATGGCCTACTAAGATGTGAATGAATTATTTCAGGCCAGATCTTAGTTTAAGGAGATCTGGAGCTCAGGGACTGGAGTTTTGAGAAGAGAGGTGGCTGGGTCCAACTCCAACTGCCACAATATAGGTGGTTTTAGCCAAGGGGCAATGAGTGGCCTCAAGGTACTCTCTGGTCTGTATATTTCCTATTTTATTATATCCACTGCATCCAATGAGTGATGCCAAAAATCAAATTGTGCCATGCCACTTCATGGGACACATCAGTGCACCTGTACCAGTAATTGACAGCTGGCATCAGTTTTGCCAGGTTGGAGCCCATGCTGTACTAGTTGTCCTATATATTGAATATTACTTTTCGCTTACAATTGTGCCCTATTGTGCTTCTCCCACTTTCCCACGGAGAAGGCAGCTGGATGCTTACTAATCAGCAATTCTTCTGTCTTTGTCCTTTCCCGTCCCTACCCTTCTTTCCCTCTCTTCTCTCAGACTCTAAGCAGAAATGATGCAGTAGATGTTACATTTAGTCTTAAAGGGCTCTGTGATGACACCAAAGCTTTCCTGGATGAAAACTTGGTGAGTTCAAGGGGTGGGAACATGGAAGGGCAGAGTATCCTATCTGAAGTTGGTGACGGTCTGTGCGTGGTTTCAGGGCACTAGAGACATGAGAGCGCTTTTTGATCAAGTATTTACCTTGCGGTCTCTGTTGTGTCACTCTAAATTGTCACTAATTGTCTCACTTCATAGGTTCTTTTAATTCAGAGATGACCATACCCTTGAAAGAAATGTCTCCTTCTCCTTTGTACAATGTCTCCTGGGTCCAGACCACACCAATCAATAGCACAGTGTCTTTATGACGCCCAGTACAACTGCAGCAGAAAGGGATGAGCTCTTTTGAGCTGCTCGTATTTTTTTAAGTTTCTTTCACTATGTGGGAAGGCACTAGGAAACAATGGGAAATGGGGGAACTTGGGGTCCAAGTCTCATATCTATCACTCTTTAGTTGGATTTGTGTCCTAAGGCTGCTATAATGAAGAGCCAAGTACTGGGGGACTTCACACAACAGTTCTGAATGCTAAAAGTCCAAAATGAGGTGTAGACAAGGTTTCCCTGAGAAACACATAGAGGAATCAATTCTTGCTCCTTTTTGGCTTCTGGTAGTTTGCTAATCCTCTTGGGTGCTCCTTGGTTTGTATATGTCGCTCCTGTCTGCCTCCATCTCCATAGCATTCCCTGCATATCCCTATCTTCACACTACCACCTTGTTTCAAGACAACACTCATATTGAATTAAGGTCTACCCTATTTAGCACGACCTCAGTTTAATTATTTATTAATTATGTTGCAATAGCCCTGCTGCTAAATGATGTGCTGGGAATAAAGAACCCCTAGCACTGGGTGTATGAAGTAACTTCACCTAGTTGGGTCTTGATTTCCATATCCAAAGCAATGGGAATTTCAATCCTCACCTCTCCAGACTATTGTAAAATTTTTAAATGAACTATTATACATTAAATATCTAATGCTACCTGGCACGTAGTAAAACAGCCTGGTAGATGGTAACTTTTATTATTGCTAGAAAGAATGGACTGAGGCTCCATTTATTGGGCTATGAGTAACAAGTCTGACACAATGTAAAGCCCATGGGCATGGTTGCTAAGTAAGCTCTGATGAAACAATTGATGATGACCATTCCACTTTGGGGTTGACTGCTCAGACCTCAAAGCAGACACTGTGGTCTGACTTTCATTTAAAGTTTATTTGAAGAGGGGCTTCTGTCTGAGTTGATATTGAAAGAAGTATAGTCACTTCCCCTTTTCATTTGCTCATCTAATTGGCACATTGCACAAGAGGCAGATTAGCTCAGGCAATCAGGCCAGGTTGTCCCAGCGTCTGAACCCCAAGCTAGAGTCTTTTGACCTAAGACAACAACGCCACAAGAACCTTCTATATATAGGCAGAACTCAATGTTCTTGCCAGTTTGGACAGCAGTAAATATGAGAATTTGGCCTCTTGTTACCACTCAGTCTGTCTTAAGGTTTATAAGCTGCAAATATGTCTGTGCCAACCAATAAACTTAAGTATATGCTCCACTTGAGTAAGCTCCTTTTCCATGAGACTTGATGAGGAACCCTCCCCAACCCCGTGCACACACTTGCACACACCCACATGAGACCAGGAGGCAGGCAGTAGCAAAATAAAAATGTCCATGGATCTGCATAAAGCTATTGTAGAAATAGGATAGAGATAAGAGTTCTTTCTTTTATTTATCCCTTAGAAGAGGGAGGATTTTAGCAAGCTCAATGTCAGCAATGGGATGTAGATTTACATTGAGGTGAATATCACTCAATAACTCCCACTTCCCTTGTTTGGCACACATGTGTCTATGCTTCTGGGCCAATCTACATTGTCCCGTCACTTACCATAAAGCAAAGCAGCTTATCTGTCAGCATTGATCTACTTCTTCATCATCTCCCGTCCCAACTTGCCATAACTTCCCATCCATCCCCACAATCATAGCTACTCATTTGTGACAGCTGGTAAGGCTCTAAAAATATGTCTGGAACAGAAGGTGGTCCAGGCACAGCAAAAGCCACCCAAGTATCATATTGAAGCTGGAACTAATGGTGGGGAGAAGGCAGGCCAGCTTACACCAACTGCAAGTATGGACGAGTTCATGACGTCAATGTGAATTTGTTCTCCCAGCTTCCTACCTATCTCATAGTGTTGCTTGACTAGAACTTGGTTTTTCTGAGTTGAATACAGTCTCAGAAAAAATCCGTTATAAGTTTCCCATAAATGTAAAGGATTAATCATGCATGTGCAGGGCTACTAGGGAGCACTTTAGCTTTGCTCCCCAAACATGTGGGACAAGCCATCTGGAATTTGTTTCTTTGTTACTAAGACTGAATTGCAAGGGGCTAAAACTTCACCTGAGCCTCTTTGCTAGGAAGTGAAGATTTGAGCCATTCTCTCTCTCTAGCCGTCTCTCCTTGCTTCATAAAACAGCTTTTAAATTAAAATAATGTTGTAATAAAGATTCTATCAGCATTTAATCACTCCACATGTCCTTTCTGGAACAATGTGTTAAGAGTAAACCTAGAGGTAAACAGATCCAAGTTCTGTCTAGCTATGTGGTCTTGAGCACTGAACTTCTCAAGTCTGTTTTCTGACCTATGAAATGAGAACACTATGTATTGGAAGGTATTGCAAAATTATTGGGAAGATGGAATGAAATTACATGTGCTTGCTACCTGGCACAATTAGTGTGATATCTCCAGGGACTTGAAATTGAAGAGTACCACCCTTGTGCTAGACCCTAAACTATAGGGATAAATTCAGTGTTAACTGATACTAGTCAAAAGACCCCTCCATTTGCCTGTAAGTATAGCCAGGCCCATGGCGAGATCCACCATCTGTTCATTCTCTGAATCTGCCTATTGAGAAGGAAGAGAGCTGCCTACAAGCCGGCAGGGATACAAGCAGGCACCCTAAGGTCTCTTGCCACCACAGGGCCTAATGGTGTGGGGGAGGAAAATAATCTGTGAAAGCAAGATACCAAGCATTAATAAGCATGAACACTCACTGTTTTTCTGCTTGTACCAGCTGAGAGATGCTGAAGGTGAAGCCACACTGCAAACCGCCCTGGATGCCATGAATGAACAATTTGTAAAGCTTTCTGAGATTGACTGGATGGGTCCAATTCTTGCTCCAGAGGTACCAAACCCCGGGAAATGGGAAACAAAAGGGAAGAGCAATGCTTCCCTGATGTCTGCTAGTTCAATCACCAAATGCCTGTCACACCTAGGGCAGACTAGGCTAAAGCCAAGAACTCCATCTAGATCTCTCACATGGCTGGCAGAAACCCAAGTACTTCTGCCTTTCAGGCACACTAGCAGGAAACTAGATTGAAAGTGGAGATGGGGTGGGGTGTCATTGTGGCACAGTAGGCTAACCTGCTACAGGTATCCCACCCATATGGTTCAAGCTCTGGTTGCTCTGCTTCCAATCTGGGTCCCTGCTAAAGCACCTGGGAATGAAGCAAAAGATGGCGCAAACACTTGGTTTCTTGCCACTCATATGGAAAACCTGGATGGAATTCTAGGCTCCTGGCTTCAGTCTGGTCTAGCCCTGACTATTGTATCCATTTGGCGAATGAAACAATGAATAGAAATCTGTGTATGTGTCTCCATGTTTTTTGTTAACTCTTTCCTTCAACTGAATAAAATCTTAACAAAAAGAAAGCAGATGTGGGGTTTAATCCCAGCTACTCTGGTATGGTGCAGGTGTCCTAATCAGCAGTTTAACCCCTTATATTCTGATGTCTATCCCTCCATCTTTTTTTTAAAATGTGATTGTTAATAGTCAATTTCACAAGGTTGTTTTGAAGCTTCTGTGAGAACATCTATTGTGAGGGCCTCTAGCCCTCCCAGCTTTCCATGAACATGTGACCAGTGAGTAGAGGTATTTCTCATAACTGGATGGAGAGGTTTGCCTGCTTTCTGCAGCCCCTTCCCTTGTCCATGAACTTGCCAGGCGTCTAGAAGGTGTTTATGAACGTTAGGTAACTAGCATTATGACCTTCCTCTTGCTCTGATTTCCCAGGACAAAACTTCAGATACTGACAGTAGAAGTCTGAAGCTGAAAATTAAGTTCCCAAAATTTGGGAAGAAGAAGGTAGAAGAGGATGACAAGCCTAAGTCAGGCCGAGGAATCCAGGGATTTTTTGGTGAGTTTCCCCCATGTCCAAAGTAATCATGAAGACTTCCTTAACAGCCTAGGTACCTTTCAAGGACATTCAGCTCCCAGTAAAAAATGCTTGTGGGCATGAAGGTCATGGAAGTGAAAGCCAACTAACTACTTGCTAATGCCAAGCAATCTAAATAAATAAATAAATAAGTTAGAAAGTGATATGAACACTAGGTTGTGAGGGAGGGACCTAAAAATGAATGTTCCTATGTGATCCTAATGATATATACACCTGAAAACACAAACACTGCCTAGCTCATTCCTGCAAGTCAAGGAGAAGGTCCATAGCCTATCTAAACACGTTTCCCCATGTGTTATGTCCCTGGAAATGTAAAATGTCTCTATGTTGTTTAAATTTGGGTCCCATTCCTTCTTTTTCAGAATTGCTCCTAAGCATTATTTTTATATGTCAGTTTGTCTCAAAAGAAGATTCTCATGGAGTCATCTCTAGTACCAATTATGATGTCCATAGTCCATCCTAAATTTGGGGTCAAGACAACCTCAAAGCTTGAGAGAGAAAGCAAAATGGGACATGGGAAAAGAGGGATGGAGGGTAGCAGGAGTTTTTATTTTTTTAAGAACTAAGAGTTTGCATAGATGTCAAGAGAGAATCTCTTGAACCAAGAGACATACTTTCTCATTTACGTGCTATCTGGTTGGAGTCCCTGATAGTCTGCCAACTGGGAGATTTGGAGATTGTTGGTATAATGGGAACCAGCCAGTCTTCTCTAACAGAGCCTTTGCTATCTTTAGAGTTCACATATTCAGCCATCTAGCAACATCCCAACCTTATTATTAACCCAATTATCTCTATATTTGTTTCTTTTCCTCTGAAGGGAGTTTGTGGCATCGTAGAAGTCGTCAAGATCAGGCACCTGATGATGATCCTCCAGCACCATCAACCTCTCAATTCTAGCCCTTGAAAACTGGAGGGAGAACTCACATAAAAATTCTACTCTAAAACTCTTGAAACCTCAAGACAGCCTCCACTGCATTGTTTCACAACAAACATGAGCACCACCAAGGAAGACCCTCCAATTACACCAACACATTTTTCCTGGACTTAATCAGGTCTCCTTAGAGGTTTACATGTCCTCATTGGCCAAAGATTCTTGTTTTGAGTTGTCTTATTCAGTTCTCCTTCTCTTTGTAACATAATGAGCAACTGTAGTGTTTATTAAGATAAGTACTTTATGAATGGCCTGGGATCTACAAGGAAGTCAACAGAATCCACCTCTTCAGGGAATTTGGGAATGGTTTTCTCTGACTTACAGGACAACTGTTGATGTTGTGAAATGAATGAATGCAAGAAAGATGCCCAAGGAGAGAAAGAAACGGGGAAGGACAGCCAGGCTTGGCTGTGCTTCCCCCGCGATCCCTGCCAATTGCAATTCACTGCTTCAGGAGATCTCTGCTAGCTGGCTCAGTAAGTTGAGTACTAGATCCTGGGAGCTGAGGGCTTGCTGCTTGCCTGTTACAGTGACCATTTGAAATCCTTGCATGTAGATGTGGTAACCCTCCCTCTCTGCAAACCCTTTCTGTTTTTCCATGTGTGAGTGCAACATTTTTGTACATGTCCAGGTGGTGCTCTGGTGGCTGGGTGGGTCCATTGGTTGGAGCTCAACCCTCATAGCAACCATTCAAGCCCCCTCCTACTGCCTTAATCCTAGCCTGCATGACTTCATGGAGTGTTTGCCTGCATTCTTGCTGGGTTTTTAAGTCAATGTTTTGCCGCTGTGCTGCAGTACAGATTATGTATAGAGACATAAAGATGTAAATATAGAGAGATATTTTTAAGAACTGAAAATACAACTCAACCTCTAAGTGACCCTGTAATTTATTATGCTAACCCAGGAGTGCCCTCCCAACCCCCACTACTCTACACACACACACACACATACACCTCTGTCAACTGCCCTAGTTCTTGGCGGAACTTTTAATCTTTTGGTGCATTTTTAGCATCTCAGAAGTGGCTGAGCTCTATCTTTAGCCCAGTCTATTCTGGACCCCCCTTAAAATTCTGAGCCAGGCACAGAATTGGGAACAAAAATGCCAACACCCCTGAGAAGGGGCTAAGCTGGCCCCTGCCTTTTTCCTTCAGTTTGTCCAGGATTCAGCATCAGCAACTACCCTGACCTGTGCTATCCCTTTCCCTAATAAAGATAACATTATGGAGCAACCAACTTTTGAACTCTATGAATTAGCTACAGACTGCCTAACAATCAAGTCACAGCCTAGGCCATTCCCCACAAGTTCTATCTTGGCCTGCATTTTCGTGACAGGCTGTTAGGACAGTCCCCCAATCACCTTCAGATGCCCTGTCTTGACTTTTCCCTTCAGTGTAGAGGGGCATTCTGTATGATCAAAAGAGAACATGAATCTGGAGAAATCAAGACTAAAAGTGCCCCCTTCCCTACTATTTTGTTTTGTTTTCAGATTCTTCATAAATAGAAACAGGTCTAAACTGCTCCAAATTTTAATTTGCGTTTTTAATGCCTACTCCCAGTCAGGCAAATCTAATCAAACACCTATGCCTAGAGAGTTTCTTTCTAGTCTGCCTTGCATCCCTACGCTACATTCAATATACACTTTTGGGTAACCTCCGCCCCCCCCCCACACACACTTTTATTAAGAGAAAGCCAAAAACCTAACCTCTCCCCCACTTTTGAACTCAGTGTGCTCAATTTCCTGACTCAGTTCAATGGCTGCTTCATCAAGGTGCACAATCCAGACACCAAGCAGTGGTTCTTAACTCTGGAACTACACCAGCCTAATCCACTTAAACCAGCCTCCTGTGTTCCACCTCTGCAGGGGTGAGGAGAAAACTTACTTACAAGGGGATAGTCCCCCAGTGTCTGATAGTTCTGCCAAATAAGCAAAAAAGTCTTAGCACTATAGAGAAAACAGTGGAGAAAGATGACAGAAGGCATTTGCAAAGTGTTTAAGCTCCAGAACCTGTTAACTTATTGTGTCTGAGTAGGGAGTGTGCTGTTGCTGTGTCTTTGGCTTTCTCTCTCTTTCCAAGAGGAAGTATTTAGATCTTATCAGCAAGGTCTCCATCACAGCTCTTTTTGGCTCCTCCATGGCAACACACATTAACACCTGTGCCTCATAGGGTGGGAACCAAGTTGCATTTTTCTCAGAAGAATAAAGCTTTTCCAAAAAAAGGAAAATTTCCAGATGAGAAAATTTAAAGAAACAAGGAAGTCCTGGAAAAAGATAGCCTTATCTTGGCACTATCTAAGTGGGGCTATGTCTTGTAATTATTTTTATCATTGATGGTAGTAAACTGTAACAGGATACCATGTTTTGTGCATGCTTTGCTGAAGTTCTATAGATCTTCATAGGTTGTAATGTTGTTATTGCTCTGTTGTACCATGTGAATTCCCTTCCACCTACCCTATCTTCCCACCCTGAATTGGAACAATAGTGAATGGAACCATAAGATTTGGGGTTCAAGTCCAACGTGGAGCAGAATTGACAGATGACAGGCCCAGGGGAAGAAGGTGTAGCTTATTAAATCACTCGGTTACCTTCAAAATGGCTTACTTACCAGTTGTATACTGAGAAAGAAGTCAGCCCCCTGAGCATCTGTTCTTGTTCATAATTACTGAGAAAGAAAGCAAGAAGTGATTCCTGTTTTAAGGAAATCACTTGCCTTAGTCCCTGTGAGCATAAGTCCCTTGCAGGACTCCATGCTAACTTACCTGCAGAGATGCAATTGCTATAGTGGTGGGACCGAAACCAAATACCCATCTTAACTGTGTTCAAATAAACCATTCATAGCCAAAGCTCTATGGCTTGGTTGCAATTTTGGTAAGAGTTTCCCAAGAATTAAGAGAGTGGGCAAATCCCAGAAAGAAGAAGGAAAAAGCCAGCTAGATTTGAGGTGGCAATAAGTCCACTGGTGTCAATGCTACTAAGAAATTAGCCCCCTTGCCCACAAGACCCTGTGCTGTGTCAAACCGAGCAGGGGAAGAGGAAGGAAGAAAATGGCAATTGAATAGAGAATAACCATAAGGAAGATTTGTGATCAAAATCCATCATCTTCCCTGAGGACATAAATAGAAAAAAAGATGATGTATTTTACAGGAGGCAGAAACTAGTACCAAAGCAACCAAGCCAGTTCACACCATTTCATCCTTAAGGGACCTTGACTGGCTGTGTGGCTTCCATAATTGCATTTGGCCGTTCGATGGCTAATCTGTAATCCTTTGTTGTTTTGTGTTCTGTGGTTTTTGTTTCCTCTGAGGCCACTGCAAAGAAACAGCAGGGCTAGGGGCTGGTGAAAGGAGGAAGTGGGGTAATCAAGGGTTAACAGGAAAAAAAAAAAAAGAAAGAAAAGGTCTAAGATGTGTGCCTATTCCTCGTACCCCGCAAAATGGAACACCAGTCCTCAACGTTAATAGAGTTTTGCTTCTTAAAGTATTTTAATAAATGGATAAATGTAATTAACATTAGTGTGGCATTTTATCTCAGTATATGTAGGGTGGAGGGAGATTTGGATGATGGTGGAAACGGGAAGCATAGGCTTGGGTTGTCATCTAGGCGCTAACCAAGACACGTGCGGGTAGGGACACTGCCACAGCCCAAGGATATCCACCAAGGTTGAGCATCATCCCAATGGTGCTGCCACAAAGAATTCTTACAGCTAGCTACAATTCCCAACAAACCTATGGAGGACTATCTGCCACTATAACTGTTTTAGAAGCTAAGTCTCTGCAGGATACAGAACTCAGTGAAATCACTGTGTTGTTGGGACAATGAAGTGGGATGGCAAAGTACAGCACAACCTGCTGAATAGACATGTGAGGTACCTTGAAAACATTGGACAATACAATCCATTTCTCTAACGCACACATCACATATTCTTCTCCCCTCTACGGGGGTTTGAGGAAGAGTTCAGTTCTGATGCAAAATTAGGTAGATCTGACAACAAGAATGTTAAATTTTGGTATTATAAACAGTAGCCAAAGAAGCCAGATATTAGCTTCATGGAATAGGTTGGCAACTGAGGCTGTGCCACACTGGGATTCCACAGCATACCATACCTGGCCCTTCTAAATCCTTGACTTTCCAATGCAAAAAAAAGAAAAAAAAAAAAAAGGCATCTTCCTTAAAGACAAAATACTTATGACTGAGTTTCCCGAAAGAAAATACATTGTTACTTTACAATTTAAGTAAAGAAATAGCTCCATATGGGCCTGGCACGATAGTGTAGTGGTTAAAGTCCTCACCTTGCAAAGGCCGGGATCCCATATGGCACTGGTTCTAATCCCGGCAGCTTCACTTCCCATCCAGCTCCCTGCTTATGGCCTGGGAAAGCAGTCGAGGACGGCTCAAAGCTTTGGGACCCTGCACCCGTGTGGGAGACCCAGAGGAGCTCCTGGCTTTGGATTGGCTCAGCTCCAGCTGTTATGGCCACTTGGGGAGTGAATCATCGGACGGAAGATCTTCCTCTCTGTCTCTCCTTCTCTCTGTATATCCACCTTTCCAATAACAATAAATCTTTAAAAAAAGAAGAAGAAGAAAGGAAAAAAAAAAAAAAGAAATAGCCCCATAGCTGAGAAGCTACATTCAGGCTGGGCCCTCCTCGTGTTCCCCACTAACAAGTGTCTGCTCCATCCTATAGCCTATGGCAAAAACATCCAAATTCAGTTAGAAAATCAACCGTTAAAATTATTATACAAGAATCTTGTCCCCTAGCTGGGGGCCTGCTTAATGCCAAATTTGTGTTAGCTATACATGTGTGCCAGCATAGTTGCCTATTCTGCTCTTAAGAAACAAAAAAAAGATATGTGGGGAAAGCATGGAACACCTGGCCTGAACATGCCACTCCAGCACCCAGGAGGAGGGGCTACAGACTACCCAAAGAAGAGACACTGCAGACGTGTTGGACTTTAGGCCATCAAGGACATGTTTGACAGGCAGAGTGACTTCTAGGGTCACTCACACTC